ACCTCTGTCTGTGCTATATGCTATCAGTTATGTTGTTCTCAGTTATCTTTGAGGAGAGTTGGAGATTTTAGTACTGACCTGTTACTTTACTGTTGTCACAGTACAGTGAGTGAGCGTAGTCACCCTATGACATGAAGTGTGTTACTGGCAGAATCATCAGGTAAAAATAAAAGGGAAAAAAAAAAAAATGGCTAAAGAACAAATTCTAATGCTGCCATCTTGTCTGAGGATTGGTTATATACAATATAAAACTTTATTTTTGAATTTAGATACCCTTAATCTCCTCATTTGCTAAACAGATCACAGGTCCCTTCTAACACACTGGAATTTCATCCCTACTGGTCCTCCCAACCATCATTCCTTTCCTTCAGAAAAGGTTTATCTTCGGTTTCTTCTAGCTATAGACTGGAGGCTCGTGGTCTCCCTGGGGACAGATGTGAGCAGTCACAAGATACAGGCCTCGGGTCCTGTCATGGAGGTTTACCGGGCACAGAACACATCACTGCACAGACCTTTGCATCCCCAGATACCAGGCCGGGCACAGCTGGCTCACCACATTGACTTTTCTAGTGGGAATTGGACTGACGTTAACACAGAGAGGCCCCCATGTACAGCGCTTGGCAATTTCAGGAATGATTTCAAGAGAACAATGTGCCAGGCAGACATTACCCGCTGGAGCGTGCGCTGAGCTGCTTAATAAGGGACGGTTTCATCGCCTCACATTTGTGACATATAAATTGAAGTGCTGAAGGAGCGGAATAAAAGCTATTTAGACGTGCAGCTGCAGTCTGTAATTTTCACCTCCTACAAAGTGTGTGAGAGATGAGAGGATGCTAAGATTTAGGACTTAGGATGGCTCAGGGTTAAATTTGTAATATTTCAGAGACAAAATCCCTCAGGAAGGGAGAACCAAGATTTACACAGTTATTGCTATTACATGGAGTTTATTGGATTCTTTCAAGAATTTACTGTTTTTGTTGTAGAGATTCCATGCTATGCCCTAGGTGCACCTTTGGAAAGAGGGGGGTGCCTTTATTCACGTGTCTTGGACATGCTCAAAACGGGTCAAGTACTGGTATGATGTGTTTGAAATGATTAAGCATGCATTACAAGTCCATTGTTCTCCTAAAACAAAAACTGCTCTCCTGAGAATCTTGGAATTTCCCTTTGATGATTTCATAGCTGTCAATAACTAGACCTCCAGACCCAGGAAAACTGTAGCACAATATTGACTATCACCTCCCACCACACTCTGGATAGAAAAAGCGAACTCTATTATAGAGTTCTGCACAGCCAGGCAACACCCATCTTCACAAAGGCTTGTATTCTGAGTCAGAGATCAATCTTTGACCTTTGGTTTTGTTGTTTTTATTATTTATTTATTTATTTATAGGGGATTTGAGCTGTAATAATGTTAGGGGTGTACAGGATGCACAAGGGAACAGACAAACTGAAGGTAACTTCCTGGAAGTCTTTCCTGCTTGAAGTACCGAAGACCTTTATTAAGTTCCTGGAAGGTTTCCCTTAAAGGGGAGGCACTCCATGGTGTGTATATATGTTATTGTATATATTTAAACTTTTGCTCTTGCTATTAGCTGCAGAGAGGTGTAGCTAGGTTGTATATTTGTACATTTGTATACTAAATTAGCCAGAATGTCAAATTATGGTCAGGAGCTGAGTGGCTCTGCAGGCCAGCCCCTCAGGAATTTCCCCCTGCTCTAGGGCTTTGGAGGAAGGCCCTAGAGGCAGTGGGTGGATATGAGGAATTACTGGCTGTTGGAGCCTACTTATCTGCAGCAGAGTTCGGGTGGAAGATAGTGAGGAAGATGTGGGGCTGAAGGCAGGAGGCCCAGTGGGATGGAGCCTACCTGCAGGCCTGGAGCTGAAAAAGGAAAAAAGCACAGAGTTCACTGGCCCCCAGAATGAGGACCACCTGTATGGCAGAGAAGGAGCGGCCCAGCTAAAAGGCCTGGAAGCAGCCACCAACTCACCAGTGGTACAGGAAAGGATCTGAGTGAGTACCCCATCACCCCCTGGGTGGATAGGGGAAGGAGCACTCTGGTAGGAAACCAGATTCGCCACCTACCTGGGACTGTTCATCTATTAAAGTGACATGAACCGGATCCCCTGTTCAGGGATAACTCCAGATTTCTGGGTGAAGAGGAGTAGTTCATCTAGTGTCTAGGGTGGTACATTGGGAGAGGCTGGCTAGCTCCCCATCAAAGACTGTGTTGCAGTGAAGGCTTTTGAATAGTTCTAGGAAGTTGTCCTCAGTTCATCAGTTCCCTTGGGCATCCTGTAGACCTCTAACCCTATCCCAGTTTAAATCCCCTAAATAAAACAACAAAACCAAAGCTCAAGGACTGATTTCTGACTCAAGTCTTCGTGAAGATGTGTGATGCCTGGCAGTGCAGGACGCCAAATCTTCTAGCGACTCCTAAGAGGGTAGTGCTACAGCTGTATTTCCCTGAGAAGATGGAAGTCTATTTTACACACCATACTTGTAGTGAGTAGAGTGAAGGCTGCTCTGTCAAATTCTTCTACAGTATGTCACTGTGATGTGTTTTGTACTTGCTGTTTTCACCTTTTCTCTTGTTGCAAAAAAACCTTGAAAGCCTTGAAGTTGTTCTTCAATAAAAGCTACCTTGAAAAAAAGGAAAGGAGAACTGTCTGCAGTGCCCATAGCAACAAATTAGCTTTCTTTTCCAAGTCTGTGCTGGAAGAATCAGATACAATGTGCTATGCACGTCTCAAATTTCTCTCTTTTTTTTTTTTTTTGGCCTTGAGCAGTATTTAGTCACACCATAATGCAACACGATTCCAGCAATCAGCTGCCAATACATTTGGACCTGTTGCGTTTTAGTTAACATGGAAGAGGTTTTTGGCTCTAATCATTTGCAGTTGAGTGAGTGAACTGTTTAAAAGTACAATTAAAGCAGCACTCCAGACACACAGATTAGTACGCAAATACATTTACGTAATTGTGCAGTCATGCTACGCTGTACCCAAACAAAATTTGTATAATTTTTTTCAAATAGAGCTTTCTGGAAATGGGGGAATGGGGGAAATTGCCCAAAAGTAGGTGTGTCAAGCTTGTAGCATCATACTCAAAACAACTTGAGGCTGTAATTGGTGCTAAAGGTGCTTCAACAAAGTATTGAGCAAAGGCTGTGAATACTTATGTACATGTGTGTTTTTTTTAATAAATTGCAAAGATTTCAAAACAAACTTCTTTCACATTGTCATTATGGGGTATTGTTTGTAGAATGTTGAGGAAAAAAATTAATTTATTCCATTTAGGAAAATAGCTGTAACATAACAAAATGTGGCAAAAGTTAAGTGCTGAGAATACTTTCTGGATGCACTGTACACCAGTGGTGGCCCAAAGCAAGATGTGGCCCTTTGCTTGCCTTTATCTGGTCATTGGGGTACTTTCCTCCCACTGATATCAGGCACTGTTCTTGCCACTAATACAATAACGAGGCACTATTCCTCCCACTGACACCAATGGTGGGGAACTATTCCTCCCACTGATACCAACAATAGGGCACCATTCTTCCCATTGACACTGACAATAGGGCACTTTTCCTCCCACTGATACCAGTAATGGGGCACTATTCCTCCCACTGACACCAACGATGGGACACTATTCCTCCCACTGACACTGACAATAGAGCACTATTCCTCCCACTAACACCAACGATGGGACACTATTCCTCCCACTGACACTGACAATAGAGCACTATTCCTCCCACTAACACCAATGATGGAGCACTATTCCTCCCACTGATACCAATGATGGGGCACTATTTTTCTCCCACTGACACCAAGTCAGTAATGGTACTGCAGGAACAGTTAAAGGGCAAAATTTATAAACCTACTACAGGACAATTTTATGGTACAGTTCATAGAGGCCCCAACTAGGAATGATGCTCTGCTGAACCTGGTAATCTCAAACCATGCAGAGCTTATTACGAATGTCCATATAAAAGGACATCTGGGTAGAAGTGACCATATCATGATTTCATTTATTGTTAGCTGTAAACATCAAGCACATAAAGGAAAAATAAAAATGCTCAACTTCAAGAGAGCTAATTTTCCAAGACTGATAGCTGCTCTCCAAGACTTAGACTGGGAGGGAATATTGGCATTGATGAACACAACACAGAAATGGGAGCTCTTCAAATAAACTGTATGTGAACACACTGCAAATTACATTCCCATGGGCAACACGTTTACAAGGCTAAAAATCAAGCCTATGTGGCTCACCGCCAAAGTTAAAAAAGCTATAGATAATAAGAAAAGATATTTTATTAAATATAAAAGTGAAGGAATGCTATCATCGTTTAAACATTACAAATAATATAACAGAATATGCAAAAAGGAAATAAAGGTCGCAAAGACAGATTGTAAGAAATAGCAGGACAAACCCCATAAAATTCTTCAAATATATTAATAGCAAAAAGGTTCGGTCCGAGCATGTAGGCCCTTTACAAAATAATCTAGTGGGTGACTGGGGACAAAGAAGGCAAATTTATTAAATACCTTCTTCATCACTGTATATACAAAGGAGCATGGGGTAGCTCTTGTCCATAATGGGCAGGGTATTGACACAATTCCAGATTATCCACATTGGCTCACAATCGATATGATCCAAAAATATTTAGACAGAACAAAGGTGAAAAAAGCATCTGGACCAGATGGCATTCACCCACGGGTCCTTAAAGAATTGAGCTCTGTCATTTCAAAGCCATTGTTTCTAATTTTTAGGGACTCTTTAATGACTGGAATAGTACCACTGGTAAAAGGGGTCAAAATCAAGTACTTATGAAGTACTTTACCAAGTACTTATAGACCTGTTAGTTTAACTTCCATAGTTTAGAAGATACTGAAGAGTTCAATAAAAGACCACATAGATGAGTTCTTGCTGGAAAAAAAATATTTTAAGCAACAGACAGCATGGATTCCTGAAAGACAGAAGTTGTCAAACAAATCTGATTTCTTTTTATGAGGAGGTGAGCAAAACCTTGGACAGAGGGGTGGCAGTGGACGTGGTATACTTGGACAGAGGGGTGGCAGTGGACATGGTATACTTGGACAGAGGGGTGGCAGTGGAACATGGTATACTTGGACAGAGAGGTGGCGGTGGACATGGTATACTTGGACAGAGGGGTGGCGGTGGACATAGTATACTTGGACAGAGGGTTGGCAGTGGACGTGGTATACTTGGACAGAGGGGTGACGGTGGACGTGGTATACTTGGACACAGGTGGTGGTGGACATGGTATACTTGGACAGAGGGGTGGCGGTCGACGTGGTATACTTGGATTTTGCAAAAGCGTTTGACACAGTTCCCCACACACACGGCTAATGTGTAAGGTAAAGTCTACAGGCTTGGAAAAATCTGTATGTAAATGGATAGAAAACTGGCTAAAAGATCGTATTCAGAGAGTAGTGGTTAATGATTCATACTCTGAATGGTCTAGGGTTTTCATTGGTGTACCCCAAGGTTCAATGTTGGGACCCTTACTTTTTAATATATTTATAAACATTATAGGGTCTGGGATTAAAAATGCCATTTCAGTCTTTGCAGATGACACCATATGCAGTGGAATAATGTCCTTACAGGATGTCTCCAACTTACAAGTCGACCTCAATGCACTATTTAATTGGGCAACTATGTGGCAAATGAGGTTTAATGTTGATAAATGTAAGGTTATGCACTTGGGGGCTAAGAATATGCATGCATCATACATACTAGGGGGGTACAACTGGGGGAATCAATGGTGGAGAAGGATCTGGGGATTCTGGTAGATCACAAGCTTAATAATGGCATGCAATGCCAAGCTGTGTTCTCTAAAGCGAGCAAAATGCTCTCTTGTTTTAAAAGAGGTATAGACTCCAGAGAGAGAGATATCATTTCCCCCGGTATAAATCATTAGTAACACCTCATCTGGAATATGCAGTTCAAATTGTTGAACCAATTCACAAAAAGAACATTGGGGAACTGGAGAAAGTACAGAGAAGGGCAACCTAACTGATAAGAGGCATGGAGGAGCTCAGCTATGAGGAAAGATTAGAGGAACTGAATTTATTCTCTCTTGAGAAGAGGAGATTAAGGTGGGATATGAGCAACATGAATAAATACATCAGTGGTTCATATAGTGAATGCAGTGTAGAGTTATTCACCCTGAGCTCATCACAGAGGACAAGGGGACACTCTTTACATCTGGAGGAAAAGAAATGTAATCTCCAAATATGGAAAGGATTCTTCACAGAAAGAGCTGTGAGAATGTGGAATAGCCTCCCTCAAGAGTTGGTTCTGGTCAGCTCAGTGGATTGCTTTAAAAAAGGCCTGGATTCTGTCTTAGATACACAGAATAAAATTGGTTACTAACATTTATAGGGAATATCCAATTGTCTCTCGGGGGTTCAGGACATTATTTGGATTCTTACTGTTTTAGCTTTTATTACTACTACAGGTATGGGGGGCTCTGATGAGGGAATCTAATGTAGGGGGGCTCTAATGGGGAATCTGATGTATGGGGGCTTGATGGGGGAATCTGATGTATGGGGGCTCTGTTAGGGAAATCTGATGTATGGGGGCTTTGATGAGAAAATCTGATGTATGAGGGGCTCTAATGGGGGAATCTGATGTATGGGGGAATCTGATGTATGGGAGCTCTCACATGCCATTCTTTGCAGTGCAAGTTGAGCACATTAATTTGTATGGGCTCAAACTGCACCCCACTACACAAAAAATAGGTACCGGTAATTGGTATTGGCGAGTACGCGATAAAAAGTATCAGTACTCTTACTCATTCCTAAAAAACTGGTATCGGTGCATCCCTAGTCTGAAGGACAGTAAACTGGCTTTTGTTTAGAATGGTGATCGGCAAGTTGTTGATCATGATTGACCAGCCGACAGTGGGAGCCATCAGGTGGACCGTTACCACAGCTCTGCTACTGTGGGGGACGTAGGTTATGGGAATTTGGCAGAGGACACAGCACTGGGGGGGCCGAGGATACTACTGTGAGGGGAGCGGGTTATGCTGGGGGGCAGAGGACACTACAGTAGGGGGGGGGTGATGTGAAGGGGGCAGAGGAAATTGCATTGGGGGATACAGGACACCACTATGGGGAGAGGGGGCAGAGGAAACTACAGTGGGGGCGTGATGTAAATGGGGCAGAGAACACTGCATTGGGTGAGTACAAAACACTACTGGGGGGAGGGGAGGGCAGAGGACACTACTGTGAGGTATGATGTGAAGGGGAGCAGAGGATACTATTGTGACATACTATATGTTCTTCATGCCATCTTTTTATTGGGAGCTTGACCACTTTTTTTTTTCTTTTTCTTTAAAGGGCGCCATCTAGGAACCCCCCCTCCTCTCACAGATCCCACCTGGTCCCCAAGCCGCATGTGTCCCCTCTTCTGTCCGTTCTTCCGGGGGGGGGGGGGGGGGGGGGGGGCGGTGCTGCTCCCCTGAAATATGCCGCCCCAGGAAAATGCCTTGTTTGCCTTGTGGTAAATATGCCCCCAATGTTGTCCAGGTAGACCGCAACCTCTGAAAGGTTGCTTACTCCTGGTTTAAAATGTTTGGATACCCCTTGTCTAAACTGTTCACCACAATCCTTCATTGCGGATGTGGGATCTTTTATTGTCCTGATGCCATTTATTCGAGCAAACCACTGTGCAATTGTTGGGAAGAGGAGCTTTTCCAGAGGGGTGGGTTGCAGGCATTTGCTGTATTAATCAGTTGTATCAGCACAGAAGATTTCTAGGCCTTTTTTTCCGATAAGAGGGTACGATGAAAAACAACTGCTAAGGGTTTACTGAAATATACATTTTTACATTTATTTTTTAACACAAGCAGTGTAAGTACCTGCATTTGTTCTGGCATCACAGAGAAAGAAGTACAATGAGACAATCAGAGGTGCTGCAGTGCTTATAGTCTAACCAGGGACATGCTGATAGGAGGAGAGAGCAGAGTAACAGAGAGATGAGCTCATCAGTCTGCTGCTTCTCCTTTACTGTTCAGACTAGGAAAGGACAAGTCCTGTAAGTGCTACTGAATTGCGGCATACAAAAATCAGGTCTCCTGCCCTGCCAGACCTTGCTGTGTTGTGTGCAGAGCTGTGTAAATCTCATGGCTGAATGAACAGAAATTCAAATCCTTTGACAGGTAAAACAGCTCTCATATGTATTTCATCTGTGTATTTTGGCTATTTTCCTGGAGTTCATCTTTAAAGTTCATATGAATTTTTAGTGATTGAGCTTACATGCACTTTAACCTTTAGATAATAATGCCTTTTTTGTTATTTTCCATTAAGTTATTAGTATTTAGAATGCATAATTGGCATTTAAACCTGGATATTCTTTTTGAATAAATTGGAAATGTCATTGTTTGCTGCTCTTTACAATCGAATATATATTAAAGACAGTTTATTGGCAAATAAAACATCCTTAGTCATTGTGTAACTCAAAGTCCCTGCACAGTTGAATAAAATGACACCGAGAGTCTGATAATGTTACTATTATACAGTGCTAGCTTGGATCAGTCATTGCGACTAAACACCAAAATGTAGACTAAAAGCCTTGCCAGGCAGAACCGTTCCTGCTAAAGTCCTACATTGCAATGTCTAGTATATGATAAGTTGAGGGATTTATAAATACCATTTTAAGGAAAATAAGATATGTTAATAGCAACGTGGATGAGATTGGTTTTCCCAAATTAGGATTCACTTTGGAATCAGGCATTCTGTATTACCCTAGGTTCACACTTCAGCGTTTTCAGTGTTATTTTCCAGTTTGCAGAAACACACTACAGTTTCATTAACATGATTTCCTATTGATCATGTTTTTTATGCCTTTTGCATTTTTTTTTTCTTACTAATAGGAAAGTATGACAGTTCTGTTCATATAGTGCAAGTTTGATGCAACTTTGGATGGGTGCTACTTGGATTCAATTTTGGATGGGTGTGACTTTGATGTAACTTTACACTCTCTGGCAATCTTGTAGCATCATAGTAGCATCGAAGTCGCATCAAAAAAGAGCAAGAACCTTTATGTGTCTAAAGTCGCATGTTAAGGTTAAATGCTAGGGTTAAATGTTAGTTTTGAGTTTAAAGGCTAGGCTTGAATGCTAACCGTAATATTTAACCCTAACATTTAACCCTAGCCCTTTACCCTAACGTGACTTTGGGACATAGAAAGTCGCATGAAAGTCACATCTGAATGTTTTCAATTCAACAGTTTTGTCAGACTTTGCAGAGGCACAATCTGGTTGTTAAGAGCAGGCAACTGCCACGACCTTAACCTCCCTGGCGGTATTCCCGAGTGTAGCTCGGGGTAAAGTTTCAGCACCACAAGCGGTAACCTCGAGCTACACTCGGAAATACCATGCAGCGCTCTCCGGGATCTCTTCTTCACTTACCTTGTCCTGCGCTCCCTGCGATGTCCCTCCTGCAGTGTCCCCGGCAATGTCCTCCGGCGGATGCCGACACCTGTCTTCTGGGTTCCATTCCCTGCAACATCAGGACGTACGGGGACGGAACCGGCGGGAAATTTGAAAGTTGTAAAAGTGACGTTCACTAAAATCACATAGTAAAACATTACTGTATCAAAGCATTTCACATACATTTTGTCCCGAGTGCTTTGTCCTGTGCCCTGCCTGCATTTTTACTGTTCTTTATGCCTGGAAACTGAGAAACGTCCATGGCGTCCAAAAAGCGTCCCTTTAGGTCAAAAGCGGTTTTAGACCAGCTAGAGAACAGTGATAGTAAATTAGAACCACTTGCAGCACTGAGTGATGATTCGTGGGGAAATTCGTCATCAGACACTGAAGCATACCCCCTATGATGATGTGCGGTTAGCACAAAACACGTCAGGGAAGGAGCTACAGCGTCGTGACGTCATGCCGCCAGCACCACATGGGTCCCGGCGGCCATCTTTATACTCACCTCATGGTCAGTGTTTTTGTTTTTCCTCATGTCACACTGCTTACTCAAATAAATCCATTCCTTAAACAATATCACGCTATTGGCCTCCTTTTTTCCTTTGGCTCTTGGTGAGCTACCAACTACCTACAGAGCTACTTTAAAGGGGAGACTGAATTTGATTGCCAGCAGGATTAAGCGTGGTGAGGAAAACCTGGCCAGACCAGATCCATATACATAGGAGCCATCAGCAGGTCCACAAGAGAATATTGTCTCTAAATGCGCAGTCATACTGTGCATCTGGTGAGTGCAAAGCCTTCTCTTTTTTACTGGTCATGTCATCACGGCTTGGAAGGAGCACTCTTCAATGGAGAGAATTTAATCTCCCACATTTTCACTAGGACTATTCCTATTTGATTACACTACTTGTCACCCTGGTGGTGACGGAATATGTGATCACGAAAGTAAATGGATTTCAT